TGTGAGCGGCTCCTGCAGGTGCTCAGGGATGTCGAAGTCCTCGGGCCTGGTCACGGAAAAGGCGGTCTGGATGGGGACCGACTCGTCAGATGGTCGGGCATCTTCCTCTGGCTCCCTTGTCTCTTGGGCGTCACGACGGGGAGCGTCGCTTCGCCGGTATTGTGCGAGCCTCCCTCCCTTGATGAGGGTTTCGATGGCGTCCTGGAGGTGGACGCAATCCTCAGTCAGATGACCATGGCTCCTATGGTACTGACAATATTTGTTCTTGTCTGCTCCGGACTTGGCGGGAGCAGGTCAGGGACGTTTGACACCGCCGTCCTTGAAGTCAGTGCTGGCACACTCTTCCAGAATGCGCTCGCGGGAAGCTATGAGCGGAGTGTACTCGGTAAAACGCCCCGAGGGTCCCCTTTATTCTCGGACTTCCCGGGGTCTGTCTTCTTTTCTTTTCTCCCCAGTTCGTCGAGGAGGGGCTTCTTGGCGTGAGTTGCTGTTGGACCCGCGAGTCCTGGGATCTCGGGCTCTGTTGGCCGCTTCCCTCTCCTCGTATTCCATGTATGCCCGGGCTTTTTCGAGGAGGGCGTCGAATATCCTGGGTGGCTCGATGCCCACGGCTTTTCTGAATTCCGTGCTGGGGAGGAGCCCCCTCTCCAGCAGATATCTCTTCATATGGTCCGCGCAGGGGACATGTATAGCTTCCCGATTGAAGCGATTGATGAACTCCCTCAAGGTTTCATCCTGTCTTTAGATGATGGCCTCGAGAGCCGCCTCGGTCTTTGGATGCCGCCGAGAAGCTGTGAATGAACTGATGAACTGGTTTTTCAGGTTTCGCCACGAGGTGATTGAACCCGGGGCGAGTCCTTTGTACCAGTCCATTGCCGCCTTCCTGAGAGTCGTGGGGAATAGTCGGCATTTGATGGGCCCCCCAACATTGTGGTAATGCAGCATAGCCTCGAACCCATCTATGTGGTCGACCGGGTCCGCGACTCCATCGTACTCCTTCAAGTGCGGGGGTTTCTCCATGCCCGGGGGGATGGGCGCTTCCATGATAGCTTGCGACAGGGGACCGCGGGGGTCGTCCTCGTCGCTCCTCTCCGGAGACAGAGATGGGGACCTGTAATACTGTCGGGCACGACGGTCCTGGTCGTGTTGGGTCTCTCTCGAGCGCGATGCTCGTTGGTTGATTCTTACACGCCCGTCTCCGGAGTGCCTTCTTTCCTGTCTCACCGGGGCGCAACCATGTCCTCCGGCTTGGATGATGGGCTGCCTCTCCAAAGGGGGCCGTTTCCCCGATGGTCGGGGTGACTGGCTTCGAGAGGTTTCTCTGTAATGTCTCCGCGGGGGAGACGGGAGTTGGACTTCAGTCGCTCGAGGAGGTGGAGTATGGGGCCTCCGATGCCTCCTCGGGGGTCTTCAGTCGTCTTCAAGTGACCTCAGTCTTTCCCCTTGGGCGAAGATGAGGTAATTTGTTTGATTGATCGCTGCGAACAGCGCTCGAGTTGTGGCGTCCGCCCCGGCGGGGACGGGGACTTCCTGAAATTGGGCAGCCCGGTAGTTCGCGAGAGCTGCATCGTCCTCTTCGAGTGGCGGAGGGACCAAGGAAGACGACGCAGTAGCCCCGTCGCGATAGGTTGAAGGTCTGGGGGCAGTTGAGGCAGGGATGATGTTGTGACCGGGGTTGCCGGTGTTGTCAAGGTGTCCGTTTTTGTCTGCGGGGCTGTTGTTGGTGTCGACGACGCGGGCGTTTTGTTCATCGCGAGCTTGGTCAGCCATGACAGTGGTAGTTGAGTTGAGCTTTAGTCTTTGAGTTTTGCAAGACGGGGAAGCTAGTTTCCCACAGACGGCGCCACTGATCTTACCTGATCAGACTTGGACCGTCACGACTGGCTCCGAGCTGAAGTTTTGAACGAGATGGGGGGGGGGTACCTGCAAGGCACTCCGATGCTGAAGTAAGTAAGAGTACGAGCAGGCAAAAGTGTGTGTATGGTCAAAAGAATGAATATCTGACCCTCTGGGAACAGAGGGTATTTATAGCCCCCAGCGTTGGGCCAAGGTCCCTTCATTGGGCCAGGCAGGTTTGGCCCAATGAAGGAACTGTCAGGTTCTACGTGTGTAGTGGGGACCCGCACGTGGTCCCCTTCCTGGATGTTCTGCGTGAAGTACGGACGGATGAGGACGCGGTCTTTTCGGGATCCACGTGATGGTGTAGTGGACAGAGTCTGCCCAGGAGGAGTGCTTGAGCTGGGGTCGAGCAGGATAGCATGAAGTCGAGGATGTCGCACTGGCAGAGAGCGTCGGGCACGGATGTGGCCTTTTGGTCGGCGTGACCCCTTGCAAGGCCGTTTGGATTGGGCCTTCACCATTGCTTTTGGGCCAGCTCGGCCTAGTCCAGAACAGTATTGTATACAACTTTAATTTTTTGTCTTTTCCAGCTATTTGTATGTTTCTTTGTATCATAATTAACATCATTGTGTATTATTCTAGACATATATGTACGAAATGTTACAATTTAAAAATAATATTAATATATTAGAGACTTAATTATAATATTCATAATTATAAAGTTACTACAGTAAACGAGATAAATAATACAGTCTTATATGACATTTTAAAATTTAAAACATAATTATGATTAGTCGGAATATGACTTCATAAAAAAAAATCATTTTAATGACTTCGCTATTCCTAGAAAATATGCCTAGAAAATATGGTAAACTTCAATAATTATAGTATAATGCCAAGTCTAAAGAAGTTGCCAAGTACAATAAATATAGTATAATGCATGCAAGTTGTATGATGACTTTGTAGAAAATGAAATACTCACGTGTTCTTTATAAGAAACTTTTTTTGTCAATAACTAAATGTTTATTGGATGAAGTACTATGGAGAAATATTTAATGCAAGTTGTATGCCCAAACCAGGAATTTTTGCTTCAAAATACCACTTGTCTGGTCAAAGACTTTCTTGTTTCTGTGGTCTGATGATTATTATACTATATATAGATATTTGTTAAAGATATTTAAAGTGGTACGTTACATTCACTATCAATCATGATTCATTAGGTTGCATTATTTTTTCACATAGATTTCGTATGGTCAATTGTGAATAATGGTTTTATCAATATAGTGAGTAATTTGGTAAACAGAGATGTGTCTATAATTAGTGTATAACTGTGTGTCACATGATTACTTTTAGTGGAAAAACTTATAAAAAAAAGTTACTTTACACAAATAATGCATTACATATCATATGCAATAATTTGAAATAAGAAAAAGGGTGATGTGGAAACTACTACCCATTGATTATAGAGTACTTATATAGTAATCGCATACCATTAATAGTTTATCAAGTAGTTACTAATTAAAGGCAAGATTGAACGAGTGGTGTTGTTGATAAAGTGGTCACTAGGGACATATTATGTTAAAGTGCATATTGATCTATAAATCTTACATAGATTAGTGTAAAAAGTATAAATTATTATAAATATAACGAGAAACTCAAATTTTTTAAATATATTGAAATTGGATAGTTGACTGTTTAATAAAGTTTGAAAAAAAATTATATAAATATTTGTATTTATTTTATTTCTGTGGCTATTTCTTCTAATTATTTTTCCATTATCTTGATAATTTGCTACAACTACCTTATATCAAAACTCTGCAAATCATCTTATTTGTACGGTTCATTATATTTTTTTAGTTATATACAACTATTTATATTATTTTTCTTATACCATTAGATATATTAAATAACTTTTATATTTTATCAAAATTGTGGTCTTTATAATAAAGTATTATTTTATTTCATAAAATATTATTATTATTATTATTATTATTATTATTATTATTATTATTATTATTATTATTATTATTATTATTATTATTATTATTATTATTATTATTATCAATTGTCTAACTCAAAAAGAAAAATATAAAAATTAAAAATAAAGACACTACTTACTTCGATACTATAGTAAATGTTGATGTATTTTACATTATTATTTAGGAATATGAATTTGAATGGCGTGCTATCATATATAATTAGCGGTGAAAATGGTTAGATCAAATTAGATTTTATCATATTTAAGTTTGAGTTTTTAAAAATTTTAATTTAGCATATAATTTATCATAGATTTGTTTTTAATTTTAATTTTGATTTTTTTTCTTCGAAATTTTGATTTGTTTATTAACCGACTTAAAAGTCTATCACATTTAAAATAAGTAAACAATTTAACTATTGAATAAAGTAACAAATTAAAAACAAATGAGACTAAATAATTACTTGCATCAAGTTATTTGAGCTTATAGTAACATAAATTTTGCAAAAATATCTATTTAAGAGAATTTGTGAAAACAATTGATAACATTGTTCATAATTATTTATTTTTATAAGTTTTTCAAAATGATTAAATTTTAAATTTTATTTTTGATATTTTAATTCAAAGAATAAAATACAATGTAATAAAAATAAAATTATTCATATTTATTTAAATAAGAAATTTTTTATGATATTTAGTTTGACCATTTAACAAAAATATGTTTATTAAAAAACTAAAAAAATATTTTTTATTTAAAAAAAAATTGGTCTAACTTTAATTTATGCAAATTAAGTCTAAGGTCCTTGCTAGTTGATTGGAACTATATAATCACAATTTCATTGACACAATTATGATGTAAAAAATACCTTTTCAAAAACATTAATTTTCAAATTTAGAAAGATTTTTTGTATTGACTATAAAATAAAACAAGTAATAAATAAAGTCGTGTTGGTAGAACCCAAAAAAAAAAATCATGTTGGCAAATTGGAATTTAATAAATAATAGTAACTTCCTTGTTTGGAATCATAATCTAATAAAAGACAAGAGTATTATAATTATTGGGTTGTGCGACGCCGGTTGACGTCATCACAAAACATTAAAATAATTCGTATCTTCCTTCTTCCTTCATCCTCACCTAACCACTATCATTCATTTCATGTTTAGTTTTTGAAGTTCAACATTAATAATGGATTTGAATTCTCGTTATCAAGAACTCCAACAAAACCAAAGGTTTCCTTCTTCTGGTGCAACTTCAAGCATGCTTGTTGGTTCTTCTATGGGAATGGATCAACCAAGTAGTTTTTCTTCTGCTCATTTCTCCAACAACACCATCTCCTTTCAAAATGGTATTCTAGCGTCTTTTCTACTGTTTTTAACTTTTTGTTTCTTCTTCTACCTAGTAGTCTTTATGTACGTAAATGTAAATTGCAGATTATGCCACTATGAAAGGAGTTGAAAACTATGATGGGGTGAATAACAGTAGTGAAGGTGGACTTACTCTATCTATGAACATATTGAAGAATCAAATCGGATTCTCACAAAGCTCTTCTTCCTTGGGGATATTATCACACAACTCCAAAATGAGAAGTGATGGTCATAAATTCTTGTATGGTTATAATGATCAGGTATATAACATAATATAACATGTTCAATGATTTTTTATCGGGTTTAAATGCATTTTTTATCTCTATTTTTACCTACCTACGATTCTGCTATGTTCAGAATGTAGAAGTAGGAAATCAAGTAAATACATTATCACATCACATGAGTTTGCCAAGAAAGTCATCAGAAATGTTTGTTATGGAGAATTTACACCAGTTCCCAGATTCTTCTGTTCCTAGCAGTATTAGAGCAAAGCGAGGCTGCGCAACGCATCCCAGAAGCGTTGCGGAAAGGGTAAGAAGAACTCGAATAAGTGAAGGAATGAAAAAGTTGCAAGAGCTTGTTCCAAACACTGACAAGGTCAGATTCATCGTTGCATAATATTGTTGATTTTTTTGGGACAATTGTGTTTGGAAAGTTAAACATTATTTAATTATTCGCAGCAAACTTGCACATCAGAAATGTTGGAATTGGCTGTAACGTACATTAAAGATCTTCAAAAACAATTAAAGGTACTTAAAGAGAAAATTAGTTTAGATTCTTCTATTATTGCCATGCAATTAATCTTGATTAGTTCATGTGTTTACTGTTGGAGATTTTAGTATCACCAATGTATTTTAGTAGTAATGTGATTTACTAAAGGCCGATGCAATTATGCGTTAAGCTTGGAAACGAGTTAGGGAAGTGCGGAGTGCACGTTCGTCGAGCCAATGTATAATTGAATATGAATAATTGAAACGGGGTTCCAAGGGCAAAGTCCCTGGCGGGGTACGGGGCAGCGCCCCGTTGGGGTTCCAAGGGGCGAAGCCCCTGGCGGGGTGCGGGGCAGCGCCCCGTTGGGGTCCAAGGAGCGGAGCCCCTGACTGGTGTGTCTTTTCTCCAACCGACATAACCGTTTTTCGAACAGGTGTGTCTTTTCGGTTTCTGTTATTGATCTCCTATATAAAGAGTCATTTGACCTCGGTTTCAAATACGAAAAACGACACATTCTCTCTATATTTGTAATCAGTTTCTTTTGCCAGAAACAGATTGTTCTTCGAGAATTATCCCCACAAAGATTTCGTGAACCCAGACAAAAATAGGATCGAAATATTTTATTCGGAAAGTATACGAACACGATTTTTCGAAGTTATCCAGGATTATCATACCCAAATATCTAACATTTACTAATATATAATTTTTTAATTACTTTATGCAGATTATGAGTGCAAAAAGAGCTAAATGTAGATGCAAAAATCTAAAATGAATCAACTTGGGTTCAATTATGCAGACAATAAATCAAATGGTTAAGTTAATATTTTGTATACAATAGTTCTAGGGTATTCCTTTTAGTTTTTACATTGTGTTATGTTATTTTCCCCTACAGATATGAACATTTTTAGAGAATTTATATGAGGTATAATATATGTTACTTCTCTATGAACTGTGCATCATATATGTTGCTTCCCACGTTAATGGTTTGAATTCAATCACTTGATTATTTATGAATTTCGATCAAAATATTAAGACTGCTATTTTTGATTGGTGATGATAAATCTTGAATAAACTATAAATTAAAAGGGATATGTTATTTTCTATCAAACAGTCGGTCAATATATTACATAGCCAAATTAAAAACTGCTGAAAGATGCACAATAGCATTTGATGTGAAATTAACACATAATAACATATTAATACACAACGGATATAAAATTATCTAAATTTGTAAGAATTTTAAGGATTAACAACAAATATATGACACCAAAAAAATAAATAAAAGCATAAGAGAACACCAATATTTTAATGTGAAAAATCCCTCAATATAATATTAAAAACCACGAGTCGTCTAAATCAAAGAAATAACTCTATTATAATAAAAATGAGTATCACAAAACAAACTACTTTACAAATAAGAATAAAGAAGTTGAAAATTTACCAAAATATGTAGCTTTAGTGTGAAGCAGATATCTCTCAACTCGGACTTTGTTGAAGATCCAAATTATCAAACGGCAAACTCATGTGTTGCGAACCTGCCCTCTAAATTTAAGCTCGATCCAATGGTTAACGAATCAGGAATCGCCGATTTAGTGAGACCGGTTATAGAAAAATGAGAATTGGATTCTCTCCTCTTTTCTCTCTTTTGAAGTCTTCTTTTCTCTCTATCTCTAACAACCGTGTGTCGTACCCCAAATTTGCCCTACCTTTGTGATCACATCACTATGTGATTTTCAAGGTTAAAAATGGAAGAAAAATATTTTAATTGAAGATGGTCCATCAATATCTGGTGGCTCATTTATAAGAATTCAAGTCAACAGAGGGGTATATCCCAATTCAAGGGAGTGAAGCTTTCTAAATCAGAAAGACCTATATGTCCGTAAGTCCATTCGCGAAACATGTTGACCAATGGCCCATGAGATTCTAATATGAGAGCCTATTTCAAAAATCGGGTAAGATTCAATAGGTAAAGCTTAAAAGGCCCATTAAATTATATTGTTTTTAGTAAAAAGAGGGTGTATGTCTTATTAAGCCTATTTAATTCATTTTTGAAAATCATTCTATTTTGTTTTATTTCAAGGAAAAAACATTATTATTAAATATTGTCTTATTAATTATTTTTATAAATCATTTATTAAAAGTCTGGTTTTACAAAACTCAAATTTTATGTTGGGTCCAATTTGTTGCAAATAAGCCAAATTCGGAATATTGCAATAAACAAAATAGTATGCTGGGCCCATTTGTCATTTTTAGAGATTATGTTGTTGTTACTGTTTTATTTTAAGTATTATTATTAAAACATCACCTTTGTTTTATTTTATTACAATTATTAAATATCATTTATGAAAAAGAGATTTGTTTTATAAGTATTATGTTTGAAAGTGTATTTTAAAGCCCAAAAGATTGGGCCCCGTCCGTATCAAGGTGATAATGTTGTTGCAATAAACAAAAAAATTGTTACTGGACGGAAGATATTTTTGCAATACAGTCTAAGGCCCAAATCCATTTACCCATGTGCTGGACAGAAAGAACAATGCACAATGCAAGCCCAAAATTACAAACGGATACTGTATCAATCAGGGGAAAGAAAAGCGCACGTTTCATTGAACAAACAATTATTGTTTGAATCTAAAATCAACACTAAATCAAATCAAATATTATTGTTATAATTTAAAGCCCAGAATCTCAGATTCAAGTTCAATCAAAGTCTCAGATTCCATAAAAAACAAATCCAGTTCGCGTTACATATAGTACAATCGAATAAAAAACTACAGAACGAATCAATATCAATCAATTACAACTAAATCAAATCCCTAATTTCACTAAAACATCATAAATCTAAGCTCTAAAGGAATTATAATAGCAATTCCATAATTGGCAAAACCCTAGATCTATGTATACTGAAACCAATTCGTACAGGGGGGGAGAAATTGGGAGACGGCGCGAAGACGAAGAAGAAGACGATTAGGGTTACAATATCTGAAACCCTAATCGCGCCATCGCTTATTTCTTATGTTGAAATCATTTTGGGGAATTTTACAAATAAAAGCATTTGATAAAACATCGATAAATCATTTTGGTTAGAAAAACATCAAAATGAAAATCCACGATTACGTCCGTTCACACGTCTACACCTACGCTTGCACCTACAACACAAAAATCAAGATCTTGCTAACACTTTTCACCACGCTCAAATCAATTCAAAGGTACCACTAAAATACAACATACAACATCAGGGAGTTGGTAATTCAAAACCAATGGTTTAAAGGAGAGAAGGCCAGAAATAATTTTCATAACATTTCAAGGCATACACACATTTTACACACATTTTGCATACACAGACACCCAATACATGTACACTTGGGGTTCTATATCAATCTAAGACATCATTCACATACATCATACATGATTTTCCTTAAAAAATACATCGGGAAGAATCAGTATCTCTTGACCCTATAAAAATTTTCACCAACCAATCTCACCCTGGATTCAGCTATCTAAGGTTCGATCATCAAAACACACTCCCTCTACAATCCAACTTATAACCTAAGACTCAATGCAGTGATGTGTTCTCTACAACGTAGCTCATTGCCTAAGACTCCATGCAGTAATGTGCGAAACCCAGTACATTTCCTAAGACTCCACGCCGCAATGTTCGAAATCCAAATAAGATTCGTCACCTAAGAATCTACACTGTGATATGCCCATCACCTAAGGCTCTATACAGTGATTATTTTTCTCTACAATGTAGTTCATTACCTAAGACTTCATGCAGTAATGTACGAAGCTCAGTATATTGCCTAAGACTCCATGCAGCGATGTATTTTCCTCTCCTTACCCATTACCTAAGACCCCGGGCAGTAATGTGCAAAACTTAGTTCATTGCCTAAGACTCCATGCAGCAGTGAGACATGACCCATTGCCTAAAACTCCATGAACCGATGTGTTTCCCTCTCTTCACCCATTACCTAAGACTCCATGCAGTAATATGCAACACTTCCAACATAGATCATTGCCTAAGACTCCATGCAGCAGTGTTCGAAATCTAAATTTAGCTCATCGCCTAAGACTCCACGCACTGATTCGTAAACATAACCCATTGCCTCAGTCTCCAAGCAGCCATGCGTTATCAAGTGTTGTTTTATTAATCCCCCGAGTTACGATGAATAAGCAAAATCAAACCAAAATGTACCATAGGGGTATCCCAAGTTCTAGATCATCATCCTCGTCTTCAAATCCTGGTAAGTGATACATCATCAACTTTGCCTATATTTCTCAAGAATATTACGGGTATGCTATATCAACGTAACCTTATGTTTGTCAGACAAATTTCAGGGTATTCCAAGTATTTAATAAACTTCCAATTAGAACGCACAAAACCTATGTATTCTCACGTTATTCGATCGGAAGATAATTGAATATGGGCAACTGTCGTACCCCAAACTTGCCCTACCTTTGTGATCACATCACTATGTGATTTTCAAGGTTAAAAATGGAAGAAAAATGTTTTAATTGAAGATGGTCCATCAATATCTGGTGGCCCATTTATAAGAATTCAAGTCAACAAAGGGGTATATCCTAATTCAAGAGAGTGGGGCTTTCTAAATCAGAAAGACCTATATGCCCGTAGGCCAATGGCCCATGGTATTCTAATATGAGAGTCTATTTCAAAAATGGGGTAAGATTCAATAGGTAAAGCTTAAAAGGTCCATTAAGTTTTATTGTTTTTAGTAAAAAGAGGGGGTGTATATCTTATTAAGCCTATTTGATTCATTTTTGAAAATCATTCTATTTTGTTTTATTTCAAGGAAAAAACATTATTATTAAACATTGTCTTATTATAAACCATTTATTAAAAGACTGGTTTTACAAAACTCAAATTTTATGTTGGGTCCAATTTGTTGCAAAGAAGCCCAATTCGGAGTATTGCAATAACAAAATAGTATGTTGGGCCCATTTGTCATTTTTAGAGACTATGTTGTTGTTACGTTTTATTTTAAGTATTATTATTAAAACATCGCATTTATTTTATTTTATTACAATTATTAAATATTATTTATGAAAAATGGATTTGTTTTATAAGTATTATGTTTGAAAGTGTATTTTAAAGCCCAAAAGATTGGGTCCAGTCCGTATCAAGGTGATAATGTTGTTGCAATAAACAAAAAAATTGTTACTGGGCGGAAGATATTTTTGCAATACAGTTTAAGGCCCAAATACATTTACGCACGTGCTAGACAGAAAGAACAATGCACAATGCAAGCCCAAAATTACAAACCGATACTGTATCAATCAAGGGAAAGAAAAGTGCACGTTTCATTGGACAAACAATTATTGTTTGAATCTAAAATCAAAACTAAATCAAATCAAATATTATTGTTATAATTCAAAGCACATAACCTCAGATTCACGTTCAATCAAAGTCTAAGATTCCATAAAAAAACAAATCCAGTTCGTGTTACATATAGTACAATCGAATAAAAAAATTACAGAACGAATCAATCCCAATCAATTACAACTAAATCAAATCCATAATTTCACTAAAATATCCTAAATCTAAGCTCTAAAGGAATTATAATAGCAATTCCCTAATTGGAAAAACCCTAGATCTATAAATACTGAAACCAATTCGTACAAAGGGGAGGGGGGGGAGAAATTGGGACACAACGCGAAGACGAAGAAGAATATAACAAACCCTCGTTGTTGAAGACCCGAAGAAGAAGAAGATTAGGGTTTCAATATTTGAAACCCTAATCGCGTAATTGTGCCACC